AAAGAAGCTTCACATATTGCGGAAGGGGTTATGCAAATAGAGAAGGAAGAAGAGAAAGTAGATGTGGACAGAGCAAGAAGCTGGGCAAGAAGAGAAGGAAGAGGAGAAGGAAGAAGGGTAAGAAGTGGAGAATGTGGAGAAAGAAGATGAGAATAAAGAAGGAAAAAAAGAGGATGCTGAGAATGACAGGAACTGTTTTTAAGGATAAATTACCATTGTATCCCCATGTAATTATTTATTGAAATCACAAAAATAAACAAAACCCATTAGGTACCGTTTGGCAAAGGGTTAAGTGAGGGGTTAAGGAGACTTAACCCCTTATTAACCCGCCAAACACAAAAAAAAAAAAACTATACAAAGGTTATAGTGAGTTAGCCATCCATAATTTGCCAAACATAAAAAATATAGAAGGGTTAAGCTAACCTCTCTAGATGAATTAAAATGAGTTAACCCCTCAAAATGGGGGGTTTACTAATACTCCTATTTAGAAGGATTAAGAGTTAACCATTCCAATTGTAAAAAAAATGGTCAAAATCATTGTTATTCCCAAACACTAAAATTGATCACAAGGACTAAAATAAAACTTATTTAACAGGTTAATAATTTAGTCCTTCAGATTATCAAATGGGCTAAGTACATTAATCTTTCTTTTTAACCTCTCTTCCTTAACCCTTTGCTAAACGGGGCCTTATAGTTCTTAAACCTGACCCTATAAACTCCAAATCCAACCCGTTTAGAAAAATCATGATATACGAAGCAATCCAAATCTCAAGATGTTAAAAGGACATAGAATTAATCGACGAACTTATCAATCCAAAACAATCCTCTTGCCTCAACACCCAATACCAATCAAAATTTTACAAAATCCAACAATTGCAAGTCCACCCAGCGATCAAATAATACACCTTTGTGGATCCAATTGATAGTGCTGTCAAAGACTGGTAAACCTCTGGCTTAGTGACATACACAACGGAATCAACCCCCTCAATACAAGCATCTCTCTTCATATAGCTGTATATACATTAGCATTGCCTATTTTCTCTAAAGACAATCAAACATGTTTTAGAATCAGTAACTTTGCATACATTGGATTTGAAAAGAATAGGCATACATTTATCAAATAGCTGATTAATGGAAATAAGATTATAGACCATCTACAAGTAAAATTTTAAGGAGTTTAAAGAAATCATTATCTATATCACCAACTTCCATAATCTTATCTTTATCGTTATTTCTAAAAGTCACATCTCCACCTTATTCTTATCAAGATTAAGAAACAAATCTTTATTACCTGTCATGTGACGAGAACATCCTGAGTCTAAATATCATGTGCTTCCAAGCTCTTTAGCTCTCCAATGAATTTCCTTATCTGAATTTTCATCCTCATAATCTTTTGTATTATCGGAATTGGCCATGAGACAGTGACTCTTATCATTCGAGCTCAAGTCGCTTTTTAATTCTTCATCTTCACTTGAGAAATCTCACGACGTCGCCTGCAAGCTATTATTATTCCCTTTGCAGTAACTTTTGTTGAGAGAGCATTCATTTCTGTATTGTTCATGTTTCTTGCAACGATGACAAATAATTTCAGAATTTGAATTTTCATATCTAGTTTTAATTAGCTTAGTGAAAATTTTAATTTTGTTTATCTGGCATGAACTTTTACCTATCTTTTATCTTTAAGAATGATTTGAATCCTCTAACTATCAATCCAATCTCATTCTTATCATCACCTATTAGAGTCCAAGCTTGATTCTTTCTTCTTCATGGATCATGATTTCTTCTTTTTGCCATTTACGGCTAACGACATCTTCTTGGAATCATATTCAGAGGTATCTTCTCTCTTTTTAATCGAACATCATATATGAGAAGATTACCTACAAGATCTGATCTTCAAGAATTATGCTAGAAAATTTTTATAATTCCTCAATACCTGTTACATTTGGTTCCCAATCCCTATAAAGAGAACCAAGAATTTTCCTACGTAGCTCTTTGTTGTCATTTCCTAAAACTCTTGATTTGCTTCATAATGTCAGTAAATCGTGTCAACATATCCTTAATACTCTCCGAGGCTTTCATCTTGAAATTCTCATATTTGCTGATGAGCATTGCGAGTTTTGACTCCTTCACATGTGAAGTTCCTTCGTAACCTCTAGTATTTTCTAGATTTCCTGTGCATTAATACATTTAAAATACGATTAAATTTAGCAGTTAACAAATAATAAAGAGTATTCATAACCTTAGCATTCAATGAATAAAGTTGTATGTCCTGAAGAGTCAACTTATCCCTAGAAGTGATGGTTGTAACATCTCCTACAATAGTAGTTAGTGAATTATAGTCATGTTCAATATACTGCCAAATATCATAATTAGTGGACAACGAAAAGACTGTCATACATGCTTTCCCGTAGGTGTAATTTATCCCATCATAAAGTGGCGGTCAGTTCACAACATGTTCCTCAGGGAAAACCCTTGCGGCAGTCAAACTTGACATCGCTACCCTAGATTGTGAAAGTTAAATATGGTAAGAGGCTCTGATAGCACTTTTCGGATTAGAGATACAAGTCTAGACGGAGGGAGTGAATAGATTTGCTACAGTTTTTCGCTAAAACACTAAACATGCAGTGGAAATATAGAAAAATAAAAGCGGACAACCAAACCAAAAACTAACTAAGGAACACATGAGATTTTTATAGTAGTTCAGATAATAATTTTATGTCCATTCTTCCTTTTCATGAAAGGGCATCCTCAGTATGATCAGAGTTCACTTGAATCACAATCCGATTCAGTAGGCTTACAAAGACCGCATTGGAATCTACCAAAAATAAGTCGCCTAATCTAACTCCTCATAAATGAGTAACATCTAGCTCTAGCTATGTTATTATCTTATCACTGGTTTAGCATATTTTGAAATTTAGGGTATTAGAACTTCTCTACTTAGTTTTGTATCTAAACCCCTCAATCAACGAATAGGATTACCAAGTTCTCTCAAATATCTATACATTTATCAGTTATAGCTCATTTGTATACATTACAATTCCATGTTTGAGCTCTTTTTGTGCATGTAATAGCTCAGTTTGCTAAAAAATTATAGATGTCATAGCTCTGTTGGATGTTGTAGCTCCTATAGATCTTGTAGTTATATATCTCAATTTGAGCTCTTCTTTGCGTATATGTAATAATTCAGTTGGATTTACAGCTCAGTTTGAGCTCTCTTTTATTTACATGCATATTATTGTGTTCTCCATGGCTACATTCCTCGTTCAACCAATCTAGCTTTTACAATCATGTTTCTGATGAATGTTCCTAAATATTTATGGCCGGATGCTCTTCTTCGTGCTTGTTACTTAGTAAATAGAATGTTAACCTTTATTCTGAATGGTGACATTCCCTTTTCATGTCACATAAGTTAGAAAACTGTTATTTAGTTAGTATAACAATTAGACAAATGAATAAGACTAGAAAATAAAATAGTTCGTAGGAGAATCTTAACTTTGAATTCCCTTCTCGTCCTTGAAAGTTAGAAAACTTGGGAAAGTTGGAAGCTAACTTGTTTGGATAAGCGCACATTGGAGGGAATGAAAACATGATTCCTATAGTCATTTTATTTTTATTTTTTTATTATAATTCAGCTCAAAATTGAACCCAAGACAGTGGGAGACATTTTGGAACCTCCCAACCACTCGGGTCACTCGCAGCAGATATGATTCCTATGCTCTTGTAAATGTGTGAATGTCCAACTTATCATAGCAAGTTTTCACTAATGGGGGTTATTCATTGGTGTAATTTGGGGGGTAATGGGATAATTTCTGGAACATCAGTGTTTGGTGTTATTGGTTGGGGTAATTGGAACTGGATTAAGGTTTTTAGTGTTATTGGTTTGTTGGGGGTAATTGGGGACAAAAACCCCCACTTTCCCCTAAATTACACCACCTATATAACCCTTCCTCAGCCCCCAAGCCCATTTTTACCCCATTTCTTCTCCTGGAACAAAAGAGGGGAGCAAATTACCCCTCAGATCTCGAGCTCGATTCAGCCAAAATCGGCGTCGTCCGTCCTCGTGGTCGTTCACCCGCTCCGCCATCGTCTTCCTCGAGTTCGAGAGCCC